CCATTGCTATGGGGATGTCTGTGATAAGGGGTTTACAATCAGCCTAGTTCATACCAGCTTCAAGGGTGCTGCACATTCCTTTATTAAGGAATTTAATTCCTATTATTAAGGAATTAATTCCTTTTATTAAGGCGATCCCATTCATCTGAGGCCTCTAAAAACTTGCTTCTTTTACCCAATTCACCCAAAGATATATTTTCCTCATTTTCCTCACAGGGGTGACTTTAATGCCAGGATGGGCTCTGATGACTATTCATTATACACCAAATTCCATCAGTACCCACCAGCCCAGGACTATAACTCAGTTTGCACCCTCCTCCTGCGTCTGTCCAAAGACAACAGATTCAACTGTTTGTTTGTTTATTTATCCATCCAATTTATATAGCCGCCCATCTCAGACCAGTGACTATGGTTGGCTTTGTCTTGCAAAACTGGCAAATAAGTTCAACCTCTTCATACTATAGATTATCTAGGCGAATTTACATTCATGGCAGGGGTCAGAACAAGTGCCATCAGTTACATGCTAATTACCACAAACCTACTACACTATGTGGAGAATTTCAAGGTACTACCCCATTTAGACAGCAATCATCTACCACCCTGTTTATACTTGAAGCCCCCTACTCAGCAGATACCCCTCAAGGTTTATTTTACTCCTGCAATTTCCCCAGCAGGACAAGCAAGATGCCATTTCAAATGGACCCAGCAGCTTGACCAGAAGATCAAGAAGGCACCAGCAGAGGACAATCTGCAGAAATGTTGGATGACTTTCATAGCAATCAATTTGACTCAAGATCCTTTGATTCTGTACAAAACTTTAGTACAAAAACTACATCCTCTACTGGCTTGTGACCCTGACTTCTCGATGAAGAGATCCTCAATCTTATCAAAGCCATGGTTTGATAAAAGATGGTGCAGAAGCTAAGAAAGCTCTCACCACAGCCTACCATCTGTACAAATCCGAGACAGGGGATAACAACACAAACACAAAGACCCTTGAACATCTTCTCATCCTCAAAAAACAGTATAAGCATCTAGTGGCTGACAAGAAGAAAAAAGATATGAAAAATACCTGGAAACAACTCACTGGAGCAGCGAAGACAAAGAACTCCTCTCTTTTCTGGCATTTAATATCCCACCAGGTGTCTAGAACTTCTACTTCACTAGGCTATCATATACTGCCTGAAGCCTGGGAATTACACTTCCAGAGGATGTATGAAGAGCCCTCCAATGAGACAGCAATGCCAAAGAAGGAAGTTCTACCTGAGCGGCCCCCGTATCAGCGTCTGAAATTAAGTCTCTCATTGGCCAACTCAGAAAGGGGAAGGCCCCGGGGGCTAACTTTATTCCTCCAGAATTATTAAAGAATAATATAGAGTGATAGACTCCAATCTTGGCATCGCTTTTCACCTATATTGACACTACTGGGTGTGTCCCTGAGGACTAGGGCTTGGCAATTATAGTCCCAATCTTCAAGAAGGGTAAGAGAGATGATCCTGGAAATTATAGGCCAATCAGTCTGTTAAACATAATTAGCAAACTTTATGCCAAATGTCTCCAAGAAAAACTTAAGGATTGGTTGGATCAGGACAACCTGATAGCAGAAGAACAGGCTGGTTTCAGAGAAGGTAGAGGCACTATTGTTCAATGTTTGGTCCTACAGCATTTGATTGAAAAATATTCAACCAATAAAACAACATCATTGTATGCTGCCTTTATAGATTTTAAGGCAGCTTTTGACTCAATATCTAGGACTAGACTATGGGAGAAGCTGGAAGCTACATCAACTGATTGCAAGCTTCTCCATTTTATCCGTGCCCTACACACCAATTCGACCCTTAAGATCAAGTGCAATATTCAAGGGTCTCTCTCAAAGCCGATTAAAGTTCAAAAGGGGGTGAAACAGGGCCGTATTTTGGCCCCCCTACTTTTCAACTTTTATATCAATGAAATGGTGAATTGCTTAAACAGTCCAGATCTCCATCCTCCTAAACTAGGGGACTGTAGCACTGCCCTGTTACTCTATGCAAATGACGCCGTCGTTTATTTATTAAATTTGTATGCCACTCATCTCCCCCCCACGGGTGACTGGGTGGCTCACAGTTAAAATCAAAACCCCCATCAACAATTAAAGATACCCCATAAATAATTACAATAAATTATTTATTTACTAAATTAAAAACTATTTTAAAAACTATAATAAATAGTTCTCTCTAGAACACCCACAAGCCCCAAAAGAGCTCTGAAAACTCTGGCCCAGCACTGTGGTAATGATAAACTGGAAATAAACTACCAGAAAACTAAGATAATGGCTTTTGCCAATAGGCCGAAACTCTGTTCATGGAGTATTTGTGACCACAGAATAGAGCAAGTGACCAGTTTTAAGTATCTAGGTATAGTTATCCATGCTTCCAGCTCAAGGAAAGCTCACTGTGAATATGCTGCAGCCTCTGGACAAAGATCTGTCAACGCCATCTTAAATTTTTTTCATTGTAAGGGAGGATCTTACGTTCCAGCCGCACTCAAACTATTTCATGCCAAGTCGTTAGCTCAGCTGCTCTATGGGACTTTAGTTGCCCCCCGCCTCATGTTTCACACCTCTGGAAAGAGCACAATCTAAATTCATCAGAGCAGCACTCCAGTTGCCTCAATGTGTTTCCAACGCACATCTACAGCTAGAAACACGTATGATAAAAGTTAAGTCAAGAGTGTGTCTAGCCTCTTTAAACCTTTGGCTAAAGCTCAACTTTTACCCCAAAGGCCTAGCACCTCTCATTCTTCAGGATAACTTTCAATCCACATGAATAAAGGCCATCGACTCTAATCTTTTAAAGCTAGGCTATTCCCCATCCTCAGTTTTCGAGATGGAATACAACCAGGCCAAACGAGAGCTAAAACAAAAGATATAGAGTGGCAAGCAGATCTAGGGAAGTTTCTATCCTTTCTGTCTCCAGCGCACAATAAATATATTGTCACTGCCACCAGTTATCTTACACAGCTCGAAACACCCAGCCATCGGAAAGCCTTTTCTTAGCTCGATACCAAGCTCTCCCCTCTGCAGCACTGGAGGGCAAATATTAAAAAATGCCATTGGCCATAAGGCTTTGTCCCTGTGACTCTGGAGAGGTGGAATCCACAGACCATGTCCTTCTTCGCTGTGTTTTTCACAAAGACCTCCGAACCAAACTCATCTTACCTCTGATTAGTAAATATCCTGGTCTCCAAGATTCAGACTATACGCAAATGCTGCTCACAGATGAAAAGCCTACTGTCACAGCGCAGATAACCAGGTTTTGTGCTGCTGCAGTGAAGGTTCACCAGACCCTGATGGGCCGATTTATATAATGTATTTTATGTAACAGTAATTCATTTACATTTTTATATATTAACATAGTGGTAGTTTTGAATACTTACATTTTACACTTTATAACTAACACCATCTTAGTGACTATATTTTCACCTAGTCTAGGCTGAATCTTAGATTGCACCCGCAGAGTTCAGTTAGTTTTATACATGTATGTTAATTTTGTTTTAACTTTTAATTTTATTTTACCTTAGGCTGCTATCATTTCAAGATAGGCTATGCATACTTTTATAGAGCATCATCCTCGTACTGGTCTAAGAGTGCAATAAACTTTGATTTGAAACCTGGCCCTGTCTTCCCCAGAGGAGCAACGGTCCAGCATTCCCGAAGTGGGCACTGGCATCCCTCTCACAGAAACAAAGCGAGGAAGAGGCCCAACTCCGCGGTCCTGCAGGGCTTCGATTCGGACCGGCCCAGAGGCTCGCAGGTGCGGGCGACCATCTGAAACCCCCCTTCGCTTCCAGGGGGCGGCCTTGGAAAAGGAAAAGAATCAGCGACCCTCAACTTAAGTTTGCAGGCGGAGCTTGGCGGCGGGGCAAGCTCCGTCGCAGCCTCCCCGACCCAACAGCTGCCCTGGACTACAGCTCCCATCATCCCCCGCCAGGGCGAGTGGGAGTTGTAATTCAACGCACCTGGGGAAGGCGGCTTGATCGGCCGTGCTGCGACATTCAGGGCGCGCCCAGAGCGGCGGGGACCGTCTCCCCACGACAAAAGACCGGCCGGGGCCGAGCGCCCCGCTCAACCCGGCTCGGCTCTCCCGGGCACCCACCCGTGAGGCGAGCTGATGGTTCAGCGCGTGACGCGGATCCCGGAAAAGCCGGGCGAACTCGGCCACCGGGTCCCGCGTGTCGTGTGAACGCAGCCGTTCGACCCCATGGAAGCGGGGCGCTGTTACCGGGGTCCCCCGCGGCCCCCCGGAAAGGTCCCCGGCCGCTGCTTTCCGGGAGGGGGCGCCGCCTCCCAAGGGGCGC